ATTTTACAGTTAGAATAGAATAGCAATTGTACATATCTATTATAATTTTGTTTTTTTAATTATTGATAAACATTGAATATTCTCATTAGAATTCGTTATTTCCAAATTACTTCGAGACGTTAGACAAGTCAGTACTTCAATTTTATAGTTGGAATAGAATACCAATTGTCCATAGCTGTTACAATTTTTTTTTTTTTAGTTATTGATGGACATTGAATATTCACATTAGAATTCGTTATTTCCAAATTACTTCGAGACTTTAGACAGATCAGAGTCAGTACTTCAATTTTATAGCTGGAATAGAAGACCAATTGTCCATAGCTGTTACAATTCTTTTTTTTTTTTAGTTATTGATGGACATTGAATATTCACATTAGAATTCGTTATTTCCAAATTACTTCGAGACGTTAGACAAGTCAGTACTTCAATTTTATAGTTGGAATAGAATACCAATTGTCCATAGCTGTTACAATTTTTTTTTTTTTAGTTATTGATGGACATTGAATATTCACATTAGAATTCGTTATTTCCAAATTACTTCGAGACTTTAGACAGATCAGTACTAACATTTTATGGTTAGAATAGAATCCCAATTGTCCATTGCTATTACAATCTTTTTTTTTTTTAGTTATTGATAGACATTGAATATTCACATTAGAATTCGTTATTTCCAAATTATTTCGCGACTTTAGACAAATCAATACTAAAATTTTATAGTTGGAATAGAATACCAATTGTTCATAGTTTCATAGGTTCAATTTTTTGAAATTTTGCAGTTTGCAGAAAACCTAAAAAAAATGTCAAGCATTGCTACTTTTTGGTTCTTCAGAGTGAAAACATATTTATATTAAATAACACATCACTTAAAATGATCAAAAACTCTATCGTCAGATAAGTTAGTACTCATATCTATATTTACAACGAAATTTTGACCAGAAAAGAAGACTAAAATTTAAAAGAATAAAAATGCCTGGAAATGTGTTTTTATAAAACCATTAAAATTTTCACTGTAATTTCGCGTAAGATAAAAAGTTTAATACGTAACATTCGGTATAACAATAAGTGACAACATTGTAAATATTAGTCGATCCAACAACAAGTGAAAACTCGTCAACCTAAATTCACAATTTAAACATTTAAACAGTTTAACGAGCGATTGTGCCGCTTTAAAGCAAAGTCTACAACAATACGTTTGTTTTCCCGGAGAAAACGGCAGAGTAACGCATCGCAGCACCAAAGGGAAACGGAACAAAAAGAAGAAGAAAGAGGATGCGCTTGGAAAAAACAACGATACCTTAGTTGCGTTAAAATTACACGACTCTTCGTATTCCGCGAAACGTCTCGATTCCACGAATGAAAATTTCATTTCCGGAGAAATTAATTAAGACACCTCGAAAGAAAGGCATCGCGGACAACGATGAAAGAAGGAAAAAAGGACACAACAATTTTATTACATTAAATTTCAATTCCAACGTAAAGTTTTCCTCTGTCGTTTGTGCTTCAACAGATTTGAAACGACAAAAAATTTCTTTCCTTCTACCTAACACAGAGTTCTATCTGAAACGAATATAAACCCTTGGTGTTTATGCAGCAGGTGAAGCAGAAAATTCTTTTCTGCTCCGTGTAATTTTTTACCAATTGTAAACGAGGAATTCTTCGGTCGAGATTACTCAGCTGACCCAGTTTCCATTGTATCGCGAATACTTTTCGTTCTACGAGGGCTAATAATGAAATTACTTCAAAAATAGACGATACGGATGGTTGTTCTACCGGGGTGAGTCAATAAGTGAGTTAATATGAAGAGAAATAATGGATGAAACGCTGTTTTTTCGCACGTAGTACATTTCGTACGTTCGAGAAAATGAAAGGAATATAGATATGGCTAAGGAAATTTCAACATCGGTGAAAAAGTGAAGGAGAGAACCTTAAAATTGTTGCAAGAAATTTTTTGACACCGAAATTCATGAATTTGTTCCTCGTTACAAGTGTTTACAGGCACTCAGTGACTAGAATTTAAATATTAATTTAAATGTTAATATTGAGAAGTAGTAACTGGCTGTCAATTTATTTTAGTAATAAAAGAGATTTTCTCTATTCGTTCCTATATTTTGAACCCTTTCTCTGCAACAGATTTTTAATACAGAATGTTTCTATTCTTTAATTAAATTAAGATGGAAATGCACAAAGTGTAAAATTAAAGTGAAATTGCGCCAGTCATTCCTGCACTTTTTAACCCTTTCTCTGCAACAGATTTTATATAATGTTTTTAAAGCGAAAGTGCGCCAAAAAGGCGCCTTTAATAAATTTTCAAATATTCGCTGACTCACCCTAGTAAATTGAAGAAATCCTGACAATGTTAATCAACATTCGTTTCACCATTGCCCATCTGTTCAGGCTGCATAATATTCGGCTCGGATCAAGAAGTTGCCGGAGTTATGAGAGCAGTTAGACGTTGCAACGCAACCGGTGCATTTTCGTGGATCGGCAGCGACGGATGGAGTGCCAGGGGTTTAGTTAGTAATGGTAACGAGCCGGAAGTGGAGGGTACTCTATCGGTTCAACCTCAAGCCAATCCTGTCAAGGGTTTCGAAGAGTACTTCCTGAATTTGACCGTGGAGAACAACCGAAGGAATCCGTGGTTCGTTGGTAAGCGAATGACTAGGACACGCGAGCCTCGTTAAACTTCCCTAATTCTAACTTCCGCTTAGGACTCAGCTATTGTGCGAGATCGATCTATCGTTGAACGCTATACCGAGCTGATTGACAGGCTCGTTTCAACGAAGTAACAGGGAAAGATCAATTTCTAATTCGGCAAAGTGTCTGTTCTACGGTTCATACTTTATTGCTAAATAATTCTTGAATTTTTATTTATTTGCATGGCTATGGATCCTTTTGCATGCAAAATAAAACAAATTTTGGATAGTTACAAGTAAAGGAAAATGAATGAAATGAGAAATTGAGAATTAAGGGAAAGAAAACGTTTTAAAAGATGAAGAATACCGAATGGAATTGTACATATATACTTTTATAATATTCTCTAACTTTTTCTCCGAAATTTTCCTTCCCCTCGTATATTCTGCAATTTATTATTTACGTTTCTGTCGCATTTCAAAAGTTGTAAGATCAGAAAATTGGATCATAATTATCAGCCCACTCTGTATATTATTTTCAAATATCTTTTTGCAATTAAATTATTTTTTCGAGAGCGATGAACTGAAACACTACGAAAGCAGTCGATAAACTCACGTATCTTCAGGCGTGACCATAATTTTACGAATATATGTATAATTTTGTTATCGTTTAATTTCAAAAATGATCGAAGTAATGGCCCAAATGGAGCTACTAGCAGTAAGTAAATTTTCAGGATAAGAATATTATTACGAATGATTTTAGAATTCTGGGAGGACCATTTCCAGTGTCGATATCCAAACGCGTCGAAAACTCCGTACAACCAAAAATACACGAAACCGTGCACGACGAAGGAACGTTTAACGAAACAGGACACGGCGTTCGAGGATCAGCTGCAATTCGTTTCCGACGCGGTCATGGCGTTCGCCTACGCTTTCCGGTAATAAAGATGTCAATCTACCAAATCGACTCCGACATTTTATAGATCTAACTTTTCCTCCCGCAAAGAGTTCACCCCAATATTCTCTACAATAAAAATCCTACCTATTCCTCGATAAACACGCTGATTTCTCTTCCACCCTCAGAGATATGCACAAAGATCTGTGCGGCGGGAAACCAGGACTCTGTGATTCTATGAAACCTACCAAGGGTACGGAGTTGTTAAAGTATCTTAGAAAAGTGGACTTCGAAGGTGAGCGAGTACGATGGGAAATTAAATAAAGTTAATATTTTCTAATTTGTTATCAGCCAAAAATTTGGAATAAGTAAAAATTTTTAGAAATTCAATAATATTCGAATAGAAAATTTTAGAAAATTTAGAATTCGTTAACACGTTAAGCGCCGTGTCAGTCACCGGTGACTGACACTATACTTTCCGTTCGGGCCGCGTCAGTCACCAGTGACTGACACTCAGGCCGCGTCAGTCATCAGTGACTGACACTATACTTTACCATTATTCGGACCGCGTCAGTCATCAATGACTGACAGTATACTTTCCGTTCGGGCCGCGTCAGTCACTGTTGACTGACGATACACAATTTAAAAAATTATATTCTTCTATTGATAAATTTGAAATAATTTGGAGATCATAAAAGAATGTACCTAAATATTACCTGTTACCAAAAGAAAACTTTTACGAGTATTATTAAAACACATGCAGTCTTATCGCAACCTTGCACAGATCTCCGGCCGCCGGCATATCGGTGAAATCGGATATCGCGGGCTAAACGGAAAGAAAGACAAAACAGGCTTGGCGCTTAACGTGTTAACCCTTTCGTGGCTAAATTATTTTTCTCCTGGATATTAAATTCAGATCAATTTTTATTCGAATAATTAAATGGACACATGTGTCACACTGACATTAAGAAAGGGTTAAAATGAAATTAAAGAGATATGCAATGTTAACCCGAATGTTCCACGGATATTAAATTGAATATTAAGTTTTCTTCGAGTACTCATAATCACGAAAGGGTTAAAATCAATTGAAGAAGAAGTTAAATTTTCAAGTGTACTCTCCGAAAAGATTCTAAATCTGTAAGCAAATTATCAGAATATTCCCTGGGTAATTCAATTAGCCGAGTAATCTCAAACTTTAGGCTGACAGTGAATCTGTGACAATATTGTCTCTATGGAGTATGAATATTCAAGGTTTAAGCGGCGACAAGTTCAAGTTCGACAAGAACGGAGACGGACCGGCCCGATACAATATCATACACTTCAAACAAATCGAGCCTGGCAAATACAAGTGGGTTCGGGTTGGTAAATATCTGGAGGGTGAATTACGGTTGAACAGGTCCGGTAAGCCACAGTTTTCCTCGTCTTTTTCAAATCCCTCGTACTTTTCTTTTCTTCTTTTTCCCCGCCCTCATTTTCTTTTTTTCGCCCCGCGTGCTCGCCTACCTACTCGCATATTCCTTGCAGAAATCCAATTTAAACTTGGACATCCTCAGCCACCCGAAAGCGTCTGCTCTCTACCATGTGAAGTCGGCCAGGCAAAGAAATACGTGGAGGGTGAGAGATGCTGTTGGCACTGTTTCAACTGCACTCAATATCAGGTTTGTGATCGCATTCGAGTGTGATCGTTCAGTCGTTTGGCTCGAATTATTATTCACCTTCGTATGGCAACCCCTCCGTGCGGAGGTTTCTTTCGCGACGATCAATCGACCTGGCATGAATAATATTAACCCTCGGTTAATCTACAGAGATTTCCACTGACTCAACGCTGTAATTCTCATTTTTGTTAGTTTCGTGATAGTAAAAATTTATTTCCATTTACCTCGCGATTTTCTTTCAGTCATCGATGAGATTTCGGAGCTTCGAGGATTTGAAATAATGGAAATGGAAAAGGAAAGTTTGACATTGACAAAATGTGAAAATTCAGCAGACTGACCTGGGGTTAAAGGGGAAATTAGGTTACTGAGAAGGTTAGGTTATTACTGTGCTGTGAGACTTTGAAACAACGCAAATAGAAAATGAAAATTGAAAATTCTCAAAATGTGAAAATTCACAAGAGTTACAGGGTTAATTAGTCTGATATCAGGTTACTGAGAATTTTTGTATTTGCATCTTTTATTTCTATTTTTTCCTACATAATAGAAGTTGCTTAACCAAATAATCCTTTCGAGTAGTCCTTTGATAAATTTTCTATCTTTTTCTTTTTTTTGCTACGACGGTTTTTTCACTAATTTCTGCAAAGAATTTTTTCCAAGTTTCTTCGAGCGTTCCTCATCGGAGATAACAGCCAAGGAAGTGTCTTTGTGGCCACATAAAAGAACCCCCCCTTTTTGAATCCCTAAAACGACTCTTTTTTCCTTTGACCGTCTTTCATCTCAAAGAGCCACTAGAATAAATATACCAGAGCGCTACCTCGGGCGAATTTTTCACGGAATTTAAACGTCTGTTAAACAGATACGAGATCCGAAAGACGAGACCCAATGTATCGCTTGTCGTCAAGGCACAGTACCAGACGAGACGCATTCTACTTGCCGTGACATCCCTGAGGAATTTCTGCGACCAGAGAGCGGATGGGCGATTGGGGCAATGGCTTTCTCCGCCACAGGCATTTTTGTAAGTGTTTCTCGCGAAAAATGAATGTGTGGCGGGTACGTCGTCGTCAACAAACCCTTACCGAACCTCGTTCTATTCTTCCACGCGAACTTTCGGATTTTAGTCTTTCGGATTTTGTCTCTCCCCGGGTTAAGACTTGCCTTCGTCCTCGAGTGGCCTAGGAAGCGCACATGTGGCATCCAGGTTCGCACGAGGACGAACGAATTTTCCGTTTCCACCACTTTCTCCACTTCTATCTTTATCCATCGCCACTCCTGTCTCCATGTCCTAACAATATAAAAACCCGGTACGCCTACACCTCCAGAGTTTGTTCCTTTGCCGACCATCGCGACGTACCCGCCGAGCCGCTGCCGCCGAGACAAGTAACAAAATAAACGATTGTATTTTCTGGGCCGAGTGTACGCCCATACGACCATAAATGTGTACTTTAATAAATTGAGGTGAAAACAGGGCAACGACGTTCCTCACCCACCTCAAATGCAATCGTTGAAAAAAACGCAGTTAATTTCACCGAGAAAAAAGAAAATTAAAAAATATATTGATACTCGGAACTAAACGCAGCGAATTAATTGCACTGAAGCAAATTGGAAACAATATTTCTTCTACCAGGAACTGAACACGGTTACTTAACTTCGCTGAAAAAGAAAATTTTAAAAAACATCGATACTTGGAACTAAACGTAGTTAATTAATTTCACTGAAGAAAAATTTGAAAAAATCTGTGGAATAGCAGGAACTTTCTTCCAGAGGGAATGAGAAATACTCGTGAATATTTCCGTTAATTTGTCGAGACCAATTACCAAGTGAAGGTTACTCGATAAAGATCGGAGAAAATGATTTCAATAATTGAAACAAAATGTTGGCATTTCGAGTTGTTCCAAGAAAATTACAAATGCACGTGAATTTCTTTTTCTCGCACGATAACGAAGGAAGGCTGCAACGATAACGATCAGCTGTTTCAAGAATCATACATACCGCGGTCTCAAGTGTACAACCGAGTTGACTGCTTAACAACCGCGTAATAATTCTAGCCACAACGCGTTAGAACGGCCGTCAGCTAGAGGTGCAACTACTTGCAGAAAAACTGGCTGCATTATCGACCTGTACCTTTCGTTGCCCGAATTACTCGTAAATATGAAAATCTCGGTACGAAACTTCGTCTGAGAAATCAACGAAAACGAACCATTTTTCCGAACTGTTGAAAATACTTAAAAAGCTACTTTGTTCCTTGGCAATCAACGATAAATTGAAAATGTCAAATTTTGCCAGGTAGAGAAAAATAATTGAGAAATCTTTTTTGCAAAAATATAAATTTATGAGTTATGTTCCGTACCGAACATTTTTTTGTCTATTTTCGCATCGAGCCTTTCTCCTTTTATTTTTATAGCTTAAGGAAATTGTAAGACGGGCCTGAAGAATCCGCGACCCATAGGATTAGCCGGGGCCGTTATTAAGCGCGTACCCTCGGTAATTTCACCACCAGAACTCAGTTTATTAACCATTGTCCCGATTTTCCAATTACTCAACTAGTGTCTTCCTTCTCTCATGTCCTATCTCCTTTTTTCGGAATTCCCCAAAACCCCGACACCTCATCCTTCTACCACCACTTCCCACCACCACACCCTACGACCAATACTTAATGTTCTTATTTCTCCTATTTTTCACTTCCAAAATTAAACTCCGCCCTCAGTAGCTGAGATGCGTGACTTCCTCTGAATTTCGAATCAGTATCATTCTGAACGTTGAACAACCAAGTATCGAGTCAGTCCGAGCGCTGAACGCATAATCAAGTCGTTTATATTATAACGTTGGAGAAAGGGTATTCCGGGATCGCTTCAGACCTCGTTAGGAAACAGTCCGATTTTTCTCTCGTGATCCAAGTTTGAAACATAACTCAAACCGACGCGAGTACACGACAAGTTACACTATGTACGCTCACGTTTGCGAGTATCGAGACACTTGAGGAATGTGAAGCAAATGTAAATGGACGTTACAAAGTTGTTAAGTACCGAAAAAAGAATGATTCCATCTGAAATCTGATGGTACAATGAGAACATAAATTAACTTTGACGAAGAAATGCAATTTAACCCTTTCGTGACGCATATTTCCCGCTTAAGTACTCAGTTGATCTCAGTTTAGTATCCATTACAGACACGATGGTCGGTAGATACATAACAAATTCTTTAAAAAATAATTCGGTCACGAAAGGGTTGAATCGTATAATACTTTCAGTACTAATATACTGGGTGTCCTGATACTCACGAATGTCAGTGTAATTCCATTTTAAGAGAATTTCACAATTACTACAAATATTATTATCTAAATTGTAAAACAGAATTTTTTGTTCATATACACTTTCCCGCCACAGAAAATTTCAAATCGATTTCCTGGAAAATTTATTTTCGTTAGTTATTATTAGATAAATATCAGATCAACATTTCCAACGAATCTTCAAATTTGATAAAAAAAAAAAGAACGTAAGAGTCTTCTCATTCCACAACCTTTTCCTATTTTTTTTTTCGGTGACACCATTATGTCGACGCTACAAAATTTCCTTCAGTTTCCATTACAATATTTTTCGCTTCCGGCACGAACCTACGGGACCTAACACAAAGAGTGTATGTAAACTTTTTCTAAACTTTACTATCGCAAAAAAGTTCCAAACCGATTTCCAGAAAAATTTACCTCCCTTAGTTGCATAATTTTTCTGCTAAACACGAAGAGTGTGTTAATTAAAAAAAAAAAAATACTTTCTTCACTATTAGATAACTATGTTCGTCTGTGGCGTGTTCCTGAAGCACAACGACACACCTGTGGTTCGTGCATCTGGCCGCGAGCTGTCCTACGTCTTGCTGTCCGGGATTCTCCTCTGTTATCTCGTTACGTTCGCCCTGGTGCTCAGACCAACGGACATTGTTTGCGGTATTCAAAGGTAAGGGGTTAGATATACAACAGATACACCACTATGTCCTTCCCTTGGCGAAAGTGACTCGAGGAATAATAATAAAAAGAAAAGAGAGAGAAAAAATCCAATTCCCTATGTGAAACGAGCCGGTGGTTGGGGCGCGGTGAATTGATATTAACCGGTGAACGCGAGTACATGATCGATCGACGCAAAGCTGATAAAGTCGAGGGACGAAATTTCATCGGGGGAAGTGAATTACGGCCGATTCAATTACGGGAAATGAAAAGAAGAATATAAAGCGAACCGGTGAATCCACTTAGAAGTCAAAGTTGCACCTGGTTCCAATCTCTTAAACGTCCTCGCGTTCTGCGATGGCACTTCTGTTTTCTGTGCGCAACGAGAAATTCTGCACGCAAGATTTCGAGACACCTGGGGTGTCTCTGGTTTTATGAGAATTTTTGTTGAAGGAGAATTCGCCTAGTGATAATTCGCCATAATTCCACGAATGAAGAATTATTTGGAAATAAGCATTCGGTACATGAAGATAATGTGAATTTGTGGTCTGTGTGATTTCAGCAGATGAATATTGATATTTTTAATAATTAATGAGCATCGTAAAGGGTTAAGGATAATTCCTGATATTTTTCTTGCAGCTTTAAATAAGAATTCGGTACTTGGAAATAATGTGAATTTGTTGTCTATGTGATTTCAGCAGATGAAAATTGATATTTTTAATAATTAATGAGCATCGTAAAGGGTTAAGGATAATTCCTGATATTTTTCTTGCAGCTTTAAATAAGAACTCGGTACTTGGAAATAATATAAAATGATTTGTGTGAATTTGTTATCTGTTTAGAAATTTTTAGTAATTAATGAATATCATAAATACTATTTTCATAAATGGCAAAGAATATTGCAATTTTATTAAATATTCTCCGAACTCTGTTACAGTAATTTCGGGTATACTGTTAGAAGAATCTATATCACAGTCAATGCAAATTATAAAAAAGAAACATATGATTCTCATAGAACAGCCTATTTTCACCTCATTTTTATTTTACGATATAAATTGAACAGACATTTTCCAGATTTTGAGGATACCTCTAAACCTCCTCCATTCCAATAAATCCTCCCTAAAAAAATCAGCAAAAAATATATTTTTATAAATCGAAGGTTTCCACGTTTTTCTGTCAAATTAAGTAATAAAATTTCCACACGATGCGTTACGGTGCCCGCAATAAAAATACACATATCTAACTCAAAACCGCAAAAAGAAATGTCACATGTGTCGCTTCCGAAATAACCCATTCAATTCGAACGATTTTTCTTTCTTTTTTTTTTTTTTTTTACCACTATCAAGTGATGAATTTGTCCGTGACACAAATTCTGGTAGATACAATACTGTACTCTAAACACGAAAATGATCGTTGTCACCGTTGTTTGACAGATTCGCCGCGGGTTTCTGTTTCACCGTTGTCTACGCGGCCCTCCTAACGAAGACAAATCGAATATCGAGGATCTTCAACGCGAGCAAACACAGCGCCAAGAGACCATCCTTCATATCGCCACGATCGCAACTGATCATTTGTTCCGGCTTGGTGTTCGCGCAAATCTTAATTAACGGCGTCTGGATGGTAATCGACCCGGCGAAAGCGATGCATCATTATCCAACCAGAGAAGACAATTTACTCGTTTGCAACAGTTACATTGACGCCAGTTACATGATCGCATTTGCCTATCCTATCCTGCTCATAGTCGTTTGCACTGTGTACGCGGTACTTACCAGGAAGATCCCGGAAGCTTTCAACGAGAGCAAACATATCGGTAAGTGTGAACACGTGCGTTTGTGTGCGTGTGGCAGTGTTAAATCGAATTTATTCGCTATTCGAGATAACGCTTGCCTGACACCGAAATAATGGAATTTTTAAAAACGAAAAATTCGAATTTTTGGAAATTTGGAGGCTGGTGATTTTTTGAGAGCTGAGAAGAGGGAGTGTGCGGAAGAAAATGCAGGAATACAAAATTTCTCTTGAAAATGAATTGGAAATAATAATTATTTCAAGGAAGAATGGAATTTGTAGAAAATGAAAAATTCGGCATTGATAAATTCTTGAAAATTTGGAGGAAGCCGGTGATGTTTTAAGGATTGAGAAGGTCGAAGGTGCAAGAATACAAAATTTTTCTTTAAAACGAACCGAAAATAATAATTATCTGGAATAAGAAATTTCCCTTTGAAAATTTTCTTCGGATAAAAATTTATTCCAATGTCCTCCAATGCTAGTATACGTTTGTGTCGTGTATCAAACTTTTATAAATTTTCAAACTCGTCGAAAAGCTATTCTGCCCTTGTTAATTTACTTGTCCAAACTTAAAAAAAAATTTTTGCAATTTCAAACCGTGCGTAAAGTAATGTCACTGTTTCTAAATCTCTATAGAGTCTACAAAATCTACAAATGATTTTTAGCTTTGCTTAAATTTTAGCCAGCCAGAAAAATGAAAAATCGGTAGACAGGAAATTTCGCTGTGGAAAACAGCGTTGCGTTTAACCCTTTCCGATCTTATATCGCGATTTTTGGGTGTAGGGTCTTTTATCCGTCACGGTAGAACTATGTCAAGCTCTTATGTTATAGAACTCGCCTTGAAGCCTGGCCGCTCGCGATATATCCCCGGCGGGAAATTTTATTAGCAGGCGTACCATGCCGGTCGCAAAATTTAGATGTAGAAGGTTTAAAGACTCCAAGTTCGAGTATAACTCAAGAACAAGGTTCACGAGCAATAATTTTCAAGCTAAAGCTGAACTTCTGTTAAGTCATAAACTTCGACTTCTCATTGTAGGATGCTCTTGAATGGAGGGTAGAATTGTGAGACATTAATAGAGGATAGTTCAGGGCAGATTTGTGTGAAGCAAGATAATGTACGAGACGTAGCATACACGCTTTACCTTAGAAAGTTCAAAGAAGGGTGGAAAAAAAAAATTAAAAAATTTTAAACTGAAGTTTTTTTTTGTCAGAAAAATCATTTCTTTAGGCTGTGAATAATCTGTTCTAGCGTTAGAACGTAATTGTACGAGGTTTGATCAACAAATACTGTGCGTGTAGCTCAATATTTCGGGTGTGAAGAGAAAAAAACTGTGGCGATTTAATTGGCGTTTCGCTTATTGACTTTCGAAATTTACTGTGGTTTTTGTGATTCGATTTTTATTACTTCTGTGATTTTTAAAATGGAGCTCTTTCTGTAGTTCCAATTTTTAGCGAAAAACTACGATTCTAGAGATAAAGGAAAATTCGAAGACTGATCTGAAAGCAGTTTGCAAAAATCTATACAGAGTGTTTTCAGAAGAGTAAAAAGCTTGGTAACGATGTGTAACTGCTACAAGGGACCATTTTAATTCCAAATTTAATTTAATCTTTTTGTTAGCAAAGTTTCCTATTCAATAATTTTCTAAATAATTTCTCAAGAAAGACTTATAACCCTAATCTGACAGTTTGATAATCAAATCTTCTATTTAATAATTTTCTAAACAGCAAAATAAATATCACATTCATTTACTTTTTATCAACAAAGTTTCACTAATCTGACAATTTCGTAATCAAACCTTCTATTTAATAATTTTCTAAACAACGAATTAATGAAACGAAACCTTTCTAAAATTTGAACCTTCCAACAACTTAAGTTTCCCAGTGTCCCTCTGAAAATTCCTTTTGCGCAAAATATGGTCTCTTTATGAACTCCCATTAACCATGAAATTACAACCAAAAAACTGATCGGTAAATTCACTTTTCCTACCCAGGTTTCACCATGTACACCACGTGTGTCATATGGCTAGCCTTCGTGCCGTTGTATTTCGGGACGGGAAACAACGTTGCACTGAGAATCACCTCTATGTCAGTCACCATAAGCCTATCAGCATCCGTGACCATAGCGTGTCTGTTCAGTCCCAAGGTAATTCGCTAGAACGAAATTTCCAATGGGCCAATTATCGTCGAACTTTTTCAAAAATATATTCCACTTTCTCCCGACAGTTGTACATCATTTTAATACGACCGGAGAGAAACGTGCGCCAAAGTATGATGCCGGCTAGATACAGCACGACGAAAAGTTCAGCAGTCACGGCTACGAATGCCTCTAGCATGATCGCGCCAGTCACGCTGACTGCGGCCACATGCGATCAGAATAAAGCTGTCAAGAAACACATTATCACTACCATCGATTGCTCTACTCAAAGTGAATGTAAGTATCCGCGGTTTGAAACACAGCTTGCTCCTTGTACCGTGATTTACTTTTAACAGAGCGTGCTCGTTCGAACTATTTAATCTTACCGTAACTATCTGCACGCAACGGCGGTAAGAAGAAACGTAACGTTACAGTTTGCGGTTACACTTGAAGAAACGAAAGTTGTTTTAGTTGTTGTGTCGGATGTTGAAATATTTGAACACATTAGAGACGTAAAATGGCACAAGTCCATCAACCAACATTTAGAGAAACATAGTTTCTTCTTTGGTTCGTCTTCTTTAATTCTTCAGTAATTTTCCAAAGCTGTTTTACTCTTCGATGAAGAATTTACGAAGTTGTATGTCGGATGTTGAAATAATTGAACTCGTTGGAGAAATTGTAAAATGGTATAAACTCGTCGAACAACATTTTGAGACACATAGTTTCTTTTTTATTTATCTTCTTTAATTCTTGTTATTCTTCTCGTGAGTACTTTTTGGGGATTCAGTTTCACTGTGCTTATATTTTTTAAATTGTCAAGTAACTAATTTTTGTGTGGAAAGACTTTTAAAGCCATAAACTTATCAGATATTATATCACAGTGTTTTCGATAATTTATTTGTAAAATGATATTTGATCGGATAAAATACACCGTTTCCATTACTTCTGAAATTTATTCGCTACTTTTGTGAGAAGGCTTGCGAAACCGTAGACTTCTCCTGATTTGGAAATCGTCAGATATTATGTCACAGTGTTCTTGTTAATTTATTTCTAAAATGGTATTTGTTGAATTTATTCACCGTTCCAAAAATCACTTTCACAGGTCCTTCATTTTTCTACCATTATCTTTAATAAAACGTTTCTTCGCATTAGTAAAACTTTATTTTAAAACTCTAACATGCACGAATTTTTTAAACGATACTGTATATACTTTTATCGAATAACCCAACATTTTCTCGCATCTTTTTAATCTTCTTTGAAATACACGTTCTGGCCACGATATTTCGCCCGTAAAGCATCCAACTACTAACAGAGACTTTTAATTAAACGCCTGAGCAAAAACTGACGATTCCGTGTTCCTGATTCGCAGAGAAACACCGCGGGCAAACATCCGCTTGAAACAGTCTTCCAACGAACTTAACGCAGCAAAGAATCATTTTATAAAATGCACCAAACTCAGTATTTTTCTCTTCCTTGAAATTAAATCACGACATTCTAATCATTTAACCGTGGTGCGGTCTTCGGGTCTTTTTTGACCCGTCATCTTCTTATTTTTTTGGTAACTTTTGCTGTTACCAAGTATATGTTGCCTTAACATTGTATTAAAAGTTTACTGTTTAGCTTCGTATGGCGTGCTGGTAAGAAAAATTGTTACACGTAAGATCTTCGGGTCTTTTTTGACCCAAGAGACTTTAGTCTTTTCTGGGTCAAAAGGAAAGACCTTTGGCGCTTTTTTCGGGTCGAAAAGAAAGACCTTTAGCTCTTTTTTGGGTCAAAAAGAAAAGCCTTTGGCACTTTTCGGTCAAAATGAAAGACTTTTCACTAATTTTTGGGGTCAAGAACGACACAAAGACCTTAAGTATACAGTGAAACAAAAGAACGCACTCTCTGATTAATACACATTTTTTCGCGAAATTTATCCGAGATAATTGGAGGATATTTTTCTTCGCAGATTACGAGTTAGAAGTAAAGGATCAGAAAAATGGCAAACCACCGCCCACGGTCGTTTCACGATCGACCCAAACCTCTAACAACAACGACAAGGACTCGAGTGGTGGTGTTGTAACGAGCAAAGACACAAAGGATAGCAGCACGGCAACGAAACAGCTGAACAACAACTCGAGAATAGGAAATGGACCAGTGAATCAAAGTGACGTTTCCTTATAGCAGCAAGTTTCCATCGATACGGCCGTTTTGCCCGCGAATTTGAAACCAATCTCGAAAAAACCGGTAATAGTTTAAAGGGACGCAAAACAGAAGAAAAACAAATAGACAAAAGAACGTCTTGATATTTTGTAAATACGACTGAATTATACACAACTTCGGGGTATCGATTAATTCTCCGGAAGAGATGAATGTGAGAAGAGAGAAGAAAATTGTGCAAATCTTGCTACCGTGTGTTCTAAATGAATTAAATATGATAAAGAACTAATTTGTCTGGTGTATACGTGGTATTGTTAACGAATAAGAAAACAAGGAAATTTAATTATTGGAAAAGTACGAAAAGGAAACGAATACTTTGAAAATGATATTTAAGAGATATTTGAAGAAATTGGTAACATCAATTATATCAATTGCTGTGAATACACGAGATCCCGAAGCCGCTAGATACAACAAATTGCACCGTACGAGACGCATAATCATCGATCATAATTAATTACTAAGTCACGTTCAAAAAAAAAAAAAAAAAAAATAAAAAAACAAAAAACTGCTCTGGTTTCTTCTGTGATCATAGCGTAATGCATGTAACAACCACCGTGTGATTGCATAAACACCTATTTTGTACATACACTATCGTTTCATCATATCTGTGCACGTGAAAACGCGAACCATTCGTCGAGTAAATTGATCCCAAACGTTGTAAATATCGATAGACGATAAGAAAGAAAAAAAGAAATTAAACGAAAGACAGCTTGCGTATCCAAAAATCGTTGCCAAATACAAGAACGTGATTGCGCTTAAACGAAGCAATCTTCTATCAATAATTTTTGAAAAAAAGAAGAAACGAAGAATAATCGTTCGATACGCTGAAAATATCATTTGTCGATTTTTCTGTAAATAAATTTCTCTCTGTAAATATTAAGCGAGTTACACGAAACGAAAAAATCGAACGAAGTTGAGAAAATTCGCGCTAAGAAGAATTTCCAAAAGTGTGAATAATACGATAAATAGGTATCCCTTAGGTGATCTTTTTCTCCTACTTTTCGAATCTTCTCTGCAGACTATAGGAATTGCTACACGTAGAGGTTAAATTTAAAAGAAACACGAAAAAGCGTGTCTCGATCGATCAGAGACATCGCGAAACGGTTTTCTCAAGATCTCTAGCCGCTCTAATTTTAATGTAACGTTAATGCTTGGTCTTTGTACGAAGAGAAACGAAAAAGAAGAAATTCTCGAACGACGAGAACATTTGTTCCGTAGATTCTACATATGTACATAACGTAAAAGAAACTTGTAAATTCTTTTCGTAGAATAGCAATCGTACGATAAACATATCCCGCTCTAACCCGTGAGAGTAAACCCTCGCGTAGTTGTTTTTTTATAGTGATAGAGAAACGAGTAACCCGAAAGTTCTTCTATCGATTCACGTCGAAGAGTTCGATTTTATAAGGCGTCAGTTCGTTCACGACACAACAAATATTTATACCTAAGAGTTTTGAATTTTTACATAGAATGGATAGTTTTCTCGGTGAAACTTTGGATACCCAATGAGCCAAGTATCCATCGTACGACACCGAGATCCTATTGTCTTTCTTTGAAAGAATCAACAACGATGTACTTGATAATTTAAAAATTTTTGAAAAAAAAAAAAGAATATACCGAAGCATTGAATTTAAACAATGGATAATTTTATTGGAAAAAAACATGGAATATTCTGGCCAATTGAAACGAGTTTAAAACGTAACCAAGAATTAGATATATATATACATATGTAAGACACGAAAATTCGCGACAACGTAAATGTATCTGTGACTGTTCTCCAGTGGATCGTGAGTTTAATTGGTAAATCTGTAAATATATGTTAAACGTGTACACGTGATTGTACATATTAGGCGATACCGTTTAAAAAGTATTAAGGCATGAAACGAAAAATGTTTAGTTCGTACGGAACCAATTTAGACGTAATGAAATTTCCGTTAAGGGTTGACTTCGGATGATTAATAGAGAAGATCGAGAATCGCGCGAGACGGATATACCGAAAAGATGCAATGCAATGACAATGTCAAGAGAGAAAGAGAGAACTCTAAGCTATGTTAGTTCAAACGAACTGTTATATATGCTCTAAGGATATTTTAAATACGTACGAAAACACTATGATAAAACGACACGAGTTTACGTTGTATTACGATGTATTCGATAAGACGATGACCCGAAAAGGAAAAATAAAACAAAAAAAGAGAAAGAGAGAAAATCAATCGTGAAAAATCTTTCCTTTATTTTAGAAAAAATTCAAACACCTCGCTTGACATTCCTTCTTTTCATCTTCTTCTACAAGAGCACCTCTCAGGTGCACCTTACAATAATACTGTGTGTTACTTTTCAGGATCTGTTTTATTTCTCAAAAAAGTACAAAAATGTTACAGAGAAAAACGATGCACTGTGTTTCGCGAACGGTGTAGACAGAGAAAGACGATGCACTGTGTTTCGTGAACGGTGTAGACAGAGAAAATCCGTTCGAGTTGATGATACGCCACGAGGTTTCACCCTAAAGTTGAACTTCTCACTTGAACTTCTCGTTTGCATCGTCGTTCAGTTCATGCAGCAGCCTTACCGGATTAGTAGCTCCTGAAAATCCCGATATAGGCGTATAATTTGTCACTTGTAACTCAATACATGTTAGATTGTGAGAGAACAACAGGAAACGTTTAGACACTACTGTTAAAAAGGAGACGTTCAAGTTAGATAAAGGTTGAGAAACTTAACATAACATTAGCTGGACATTCTTATTTGACAAAACTGATCTATGTGAAGTAATGGAAGAGAGACAGCAACAAAAGTATCAGTTTGAATGGAATGAACTAATATCTATTTTGTAATTCCTAATTTATCTTATCCTACGCAGTAATTGATACATCTATAAATGAAACATACTATGAACCTAATTGATACTAAGGCTTGTACCATACAAAAGTGAAGGAGAGGCGTTAAAGGGTGCAGAGAAATAGAAAAGCCTCGCTAAGATAAATGATCTTTTTATTCCATTAGCAATTACAACTCTTTGTAATTCGACTGACATTTCTTGTTCACTAGAGCAACTTGTGCCGCTCGTATACCATTTATACATTCTCCTAAACGCACAACCTTTCCTTTTTTTCCTTTTGCTTTTCTTTCCAATAACAAACGGTCAAACCGGCTAGTTCACTTTGTTTATTACACCGTCTCCCGTCTCGCTACGTTATATACGTCTTTGTAAGGAGGAAAAGAAAAGACAATACGAAGTTGACGCAAAAAAATATTAATATTGTATGAGAGACGACACATGTAAGCAAACTCATCACGCTGGATTGTTTATCGTCATTGAACGATAATATATGTGTAGGCACGGATACAATAATAAATGTGCAACTCATTGCAACAGACTATATTATCAGACTTGCCTCTAAAGTGCTGTCGAGCCCTACTTTCATCATTCACACTTTACAACGCAAAGTATAAAATCTTTGGTCTAATTAAAAAAAAAAAAGGAAAAAACTCTCGTACACGCTACACGTTTACAAAATTCGGAAGCTTATTCGTTATAAAAGTACTTTATTTTTTTTTACTCTCTCTCGCTCTCTCGTATGAAAATCGTTCATTGTTACTCTGTTTATTTACTTTTTTTTTTATTAATATTCTCGATGTGAAGACGTGTGCTTGCTATGTTTGCGTGACACGGTTTTTCGTCCAAAGTTCACATCTGCCTGCTTTGAGTCGCTGGACAATAAATATTAGCTCGACATTAAGGTTAAATGCGAGCTGGTGTTTTACAACGATTTACTTCAGCTAAATTCTTCAATGTGCAGAGTAATTAATAAAAAATCTACCTTTATGCTTCGATGTTCGTACATTGTTTAACAATAACGAACGAGTAACATCCCTAATATAAAAGTGTATAAATAAAGATATATCTAATTTTGTAAACGATAAAATATGAAATTCAATAATAATGCCGATTCGAGACGTAAGGCCAAAGCACGATGCGTAAATGCATTTTGTATAAATTACCTTTCCTTTGTTTCAGAGACAAAACGTTTAATCTACACTACCTTAATACTTCCATGCATCTTTTAACCAGTTATAATCTTACATAGAGTGAATATTAGTAAATTTTATTATATATTACCCTTTCCCACTTTCTTTTGTTTCACTCTAGCATACAACACAAACGTCAATTTGGATAAATTTATAAATTCAACGTAACAAAATATCCATATAAATAAATGCTATAATTAAACAAACATAACAACAATTAACTTTATTTCTTTACTTATATTTACAAGATTTTCTATCAAAATCAATAGAAATTTAATCCCTGTGAAATTTGTATGGTATGCCAAACCATGGCAATGAGTTTTTTCTTTGCTCACAGTGATGCTCCTTGATTGTGTTAGTCACCATTTATCGCAGCTTACATAGGATTGCAGCAAGGATTTTGAGAATTACATGTAATATACTACTATCCTGTCATCGATGAAATACATTTCATGTGATAAAAAATTACTGAATTGACTTCCACAACTTACCACTGCATTTAGTACCTTTGACCTTCTGTTGCTTCTTCTTTGGATCCGATGGTAGAACCAGCAATGTGTCTCTGCTTGATTCACTTCCTCCTGTTCCTGTATTACCACCTGCCATATCAGCTTCCTGTACACCACCTCCGCCAGCTTGTGCAGCAAGTGACTTTTTTATATTTGCAATCTAACAAAATAAAATTGAACAGCTGACATATTAATTTTATCACACTTCAATGTATTCTCTGGAGCATATATTACTTACATCCCTCTGTACTCTTTCTTTGTGATAAGTAGCCTTTTGTTTTTCAACATTTGCTCTATTAACTTGTTCTTCAATACATGCTAACACAGTATCACAAGCTTGACCCCAAGCAGCTAATGTTTCAGCAACTACACCTGTGTCAGCAGGTCTAACATCACGTCCTAAACCAGCATAATCTACTTCTAATTGTGAATTCTTTTGATCTAGTTTGCCATGTATTATATCAGCATAAATGGCTTCAATTATTAAATCCTCTAAGTCTCTAACATTTTTTATATCTAACTCCTCCAAGAGGACAGAATATGGTATACATCTGGACTTTGTTGCTAGTGTTACAATGGTTAAATGTTGAAGTTTCTTCTTCTGAACAGGAGTCAATTCTAAAACCTTGTCTTTGTTTTCTAAATATTCTTTATAAGTACCATATGCAAACAAATTCAGAGTATTCCAGTATTCAACATAAGGACCAGTTTCTAGTTCTTTGATATTGGGCATATCCAATAATTCACCAAACACATGTACACCTGGAGTTTCTACAGCTTGTCTAATAAGTTCTAATGCAGCTGCTCCTTTGGCAGTTTTTGCAAGTAACACAAACTGTTCCAAAGGATTGGTAGCTGACTTTTCTGTGGTTGTTCCACCAGTCATATTGGACCTGTTGAATAAATATTAACAGATGAAGAAAAGTTGACCACCCCTTGCTACCTAACAAATTCCTATAAAAGTTGTCAATTAAAAAATATCTACTGTAATAATAAAACGCAATATTCTTGATGTACAATTTATATATAAACTGAAAAGTCACACGACTACGGGAAAGGTTAGAAACCGCACTTCTGACGGATACTCTTTATTCAAGTATTACTAAGAAAAACGGGAAACTGTCTAATAATCAAAAATAGCAACTGAAAAACCCAGATTCGTTACGTAAGGAGGACTTACTTTGTCCGATGTTTACAAATATCGAATAGCTTTTTCTGAATATATCTTCAAATGTAAGGCAAGTATGTAAATCCAACCGTGTAAGTACTACCAGGGGAAAGGAAACGGAACTTTCACCAGATGACAATGTATTGTTTCTTTAAAAAGGCGAGCGGAACGGAGGGGATAACGATAAAATATCATACAGAAGAGTCAAGAAAGGAAAACGGTTCGCGAAACATATTTTACGAAAGAGAATCAATACGTTCTTTGTGAAGTTCTCGTTCGTTCGTGCGGTTGGCGCGGAGGTTGTCGGCACTGGCAAACAGTATCGGAGCCGAGAATAACTTCAACGTGTTGTATCTGTTTGACAGAAGAGAGGGGAACGTGTTGTTCTCCGCGAATGCGAACGGTTTATGTTAATAGTCTTTCCAAATGATCGTGCCGTTTGATGGGAAATAGTGAACGGAAAAATTTCAAGATTGCGGTTCGTCGGACGATACTGCGCTTGAAAATTCCCGGTAACGGATAGTACAAAATGAAGCCTTTAATCGAGTTCGAGGAATGTTTGCGAGACACGCCAAAGTTTCGGTGAGAAATTGGTTAAAATCGCTCTGATACTAACACGCTACTTTTCTACGCTTTTCCGTGCTCCGCTCCGTTGCACGATGCACGCACTACTGTGAATAAGCTGTTGAATGCACCGCGTCGATAATGCATAAATCAATGAAAAAAAACTTTCGTAAAAAATGCCCATTTGGTTTTTGTAGATCCTGCATCGAGGAAGTAGAGGCAAACGTTGATCTACTCGAACAAAAATTAGACAAGGTATTGCTGTTTGATTAAAAGAAGAAAACGAATATGAAAGTTTTTAGATACATTATGCATCTCTGTATAGCAATGTGAAATGCTTCTGTTATTTATTGCTACTCCAAAAGAAATTGCCAGTTTTAAAACAACAGTATTGAAGGCATTTAAATATAAAAATTTTCACTGTCAAATATTTGTAATTTTTTTATAGTACTGGTTGTATTGTAACAGACAAGTTACATAAGTAATTTTATGCTCATTAAAAGTATTACTATGATAATCTCCTTAAAACAATATCCTTTGCAGGTGTTAAAAAACTGTAGCCAGATGATTGACACTGGGAAACTTTTTGTAGGACAGCAAAGGTATGTTATAATACATATAATATCTATATGTAATTGGCAAGAGAATAGAAATCTATATTGAACAGTTGAAACTATACTGCTATTGAATAAAAAATGTTTAACAAAGTTAAAAATGTTTGATTAGTTTAATAAAATATGCAATTAAAAAGACATTTCAAATGAGATGTATTTAATGAAAAGGAAGAGGGAGATTCCAAGCAATAGAGAGGAGTCAGGAAATGTATATGAATTACAGCTCTGTTGGGAGTGACTCATACATATGGTAGCACTGCTTAACACAATGAAGAATGATACACATTTGAAACACTTGCTGTTGAGAGATTATTCACTTTCCATTAATTCCCTGTTACATTTAAATAAAGAATATTTTTTTTAAAAACGCATTTCTTATATTTATTATATTTTCTAATGTGCACAATAAATTATCCTTAATTGTCATTTAATTTTTAAATACATTTGTACATTACAATTATCTTCATGAATATTTATGACATTTTAATATGTGTAATTTTAATGTATATGTATGTTTTCTAAAAAATTAAAAATCGATATTTTTTTATAGCCAATTTGCCAATAGCCTGTGGGAGTTATCTCTGTACTTCAATGATGATTCAGAGATAATGGCCTTACTGAACAAACTAATACATGCTTTACAAGAAATGAACAAGTTTCATACTATTTTGTTAGATCAAGCATCTAGAACTGTAATTAAAGATCTGAACTCATTTATTAAAAGGTAAGATTAATTATACTTGTTAAATTTATCACGAGTACACGTAATTATTTCACGTATTTCATTTGAAGGTCATGTGTATGTGTAACATTGATAATATTTTAACAGTGATATCAAGAGGGTAAAAGAATCTCGTCATTACTTCGAAAAAATTTCCGCTGATTTAGATATAGCTTTAAACAGAAATTCACAAGTTCCAAAATCTAGACCTGCAGAGTATGAGGAAACTTCTAACATTCTGTCTGCTACCAGATCCTGCTTCAGACATACTGCTTTAGATTATATTCATTCCTTGACAATGATACAAGCACGTAAAAGACACGAAATATTGGGTACACTACTTAATTATATGAATGCCTGTATTACTTATTATCACCAAGGTACTGATCTGGCCCAAGATTTAGATCCGTTTTTAAAAGATCTAGGGGAGAACATAATTAAAATGAGAGCTGATTCTGTTAAACTTGAGAAAGAAATGGAAAACCGACATATTTATGTTACAAATAGAGACTTAATACCTTCTCCAATACCTGGTAATCCTAAGATGGAAGGCTACCTCTTTAAGCGGACTAGCAACGCGTTTAAGACTTGGAATAGAAGGTGGTTTTGTTTAAGAGATCATCAGTTGGTGTATAAAAAAAGAACTGGTGATAATGATTATACCATTATGGAAGAAGATCTTCGTCTTTGCACTGTGAAACCAGTGGTTGACTGTGATAGAAGAAACTGCTTTGAAGTATTAAGTCCTACAAAGTAAGCCACTAATAATAGAAATAGAATTCAATGGAGCAATAGATATTTTGATGCACATGTTTCAATTGTAGGAGTCACATATTGCAAGCTGATAGCGAAGAAGCTTATCTAGCATGGGTAACTGCCATGCAACAAGCAATTGGTGCTGCCATTCAAGGAAGTATGGGTGCTGGTACTATAATCAGTATACGAGAGTCACATTTACACAATGTTAGAGGAACAAACAGACAACCTTCAAAACTTAAGTCAAGGTATAATTGAGAAATGGCTTCTAATTAAATTTGAATAAACTAAAAAAAATTTGAATTTTTTTTATTCACTATAGGGTCTGGGAACAAATCCTAAAAATTGCAGGAAACGATACTTGTTGTGATTGTGGTGGTGCTAATCCAAGGTGGGCCAGTATCAACCTTGGAATTACACTTTGCATAGGTGTACTATCTTTTCGATTATCTTTCGAATCGAATATTTCTCGAAATATTTACTATATACGTTCATCTTTCTGTAGAATGCTCCGGTGTACACCGAAGCTTAGGCGTTCACTACAGCAAAGTTCGTTCCCTTACGTTAGACGACTGGGAGCCAGAAATATTAAAAGTAATGGCAGAGCTAGGAAACACCGTAGTAAATAACGTTTACGAGGCTCTGCCAATTCCTTCTAATGTTATTAGAGCTACACCAAAATGCAACGGGTACGTGACATAAATTTAAAAGAAACAATAATTTATCCCCGATACAAAAATAATAAGCCTGTTCCAACCATTCTGTCCAATTGTTTTCTCAATTAACAGTAATATACGCGAAGCTTGGATAAGAGCCAAATACGTAGATCGTAAATTCGTGAAGCCTTTAAGCAACATGATTTCGTCTGGCCAACACGCGAGCCGTGACAAGATGCACTTTCGTAAGTGGAGCGTCCGCAAGTTGCGTCGTCGTCCGCGTAGTTGCGACAAGATCGATAGTAGTAATCGTAACAAAACAACGACTCTATCATCCGTGAAAGAGGGTCATCATTCCACGAGCTCGGATGACAGCAAGCACACGTCAATTGAAAGTTTAAGTTCCGTCGATAAACCGAAGAAAACCGAAAGAAGTTCCTTAAGCTCTGACGACAGCGCGAATATAGATCTGAAGAATGACTCCACGTTGTACGGGAAAATCTTAGCACGACCGCGTAGCGATATAAATGAAAGTAACCCCAAGGCCATTAATAGTAATACTGATTCGAACATCGAGAACGAGAATAAACTTCATGCTTCTGAGAACAAAGACAATATAGTAGCCGAGAATAATTTGCCGATGAATATCGAAGTGTCCTTAAGCACAGAGAATTCAGATACGAAAGATACCTTAGAGAATAAAGACGCTGGAACAGAGAAACAGTGCACGGAGAAAGGTGAATCCGACGTGTTGATGTTCGGATGCGATTTACCAAAGCCAACGATCGATAATAGCTTAGAGTTAAGTTCCGATCAAGACTCGACTGCCGGCGAAGACGAGGAGTTCACAGATGAGGAAGACATCGAGAATTTGCATCCTGAGATGTTGCTTTACAAAGCTGCTGCTGCGCATAATCTTCCCGTGATGTGTGCGGCTTTAGCAGCTGGTGCTGATAAATCATGGACGAATGTCAACGACAGGGGAAGAAATGCTCTTCACCAAGCGATTATCAGTGTAAGTAATGAAATATCGAAGCATAATATTATTCAAGATTTTTTTATTTCTCTTTTCAACGCAGGGTTCTGTAATGTCTTGCGAATATCTCATTCTAAATGGAGCACGCATCAATTGCCAAGATGCCGATGGTAAAACACCGTTATACTTGGCTACAGAACTAGGTATACATCCTCTTTTATTCGTGACAAATTCTTCGTAAATATGTCAATTTAACGAAACTTCAAATCTCAGGTCATACTGCCCAAGTATGTTTGTTATTAAAACATCGTGCTGATCAGCATATCCAGGATGAAAGCGGCGTAAAACCTTTGTCGATAGCTGTGAAAGAAGCTAACGCGGACATTGTTACATTGTAAGTCGAGGTGGATGTATTATCAAACGATCTTTACTATGTCATGGTTCATAATTGTTCCAGATTACGACTTGGTCTGTTAAACGAAGAGATGAAAGATTCGGAGATTGGAATCAGCGGCGATGAGACTTTTAACGACGTTGTCCGCGATTTCAGTCAGTTAGCTTGTTCCCATCCGGAACGATTGCAACGACGGAACGAGAGCAACAACGCGTCTCAGCCGCCGGAATGAGGTTTAAGAACGTGCAAAGTTTATTTGCAAAATCTAAAAAGCCGGCTACAACGTAAAGAGAAGAAGGAGAATGGTACATCGAAAATATCGTCTTTCAGTTCCTTGCAGGGTAATAAAATTGATTGTGAGTAAGTACGAGAAAAAGAGTGGTTCCGAAGCTTTACGGTATGATTATTGAACCGAAAGAAAGAAATATCGCGGATGTTGTATCTTTTTACACCTTTGACCTCTCTGTTCAACAGAAGGTGATTGAGAAAAATTTATTAGTGTTCCATATTTGTATTAAAGAGAGAAACAAGCTGAAGAAAAACATTCACATGTTTTTTCCGTTTTTTTTTTGTTTTTTTTTCTTGCGAGAGAAAGAGAGAGAGAGAAGAACAAAAGAGAAAAGGTTATATATTTTGCTTACACGCGATATTTACGCTGTCCAAATGATAACAAAGATTCCGATTTTTTCTATACCTTCCCTCCTGGTTTCTTCTTGAATTTACAGAAGAAAAGTCACGGTAATAATACTTGTCGTTCGTGCTTCGTATATATTTTAAAGAGGATCTTACAATGAAACAAAGTTCATGAATAAACCACATAGCATAAACGCAACTTGGAATTTGAAAACTTTTGCAACTACCCATAGCAAAGTGTACATTATTACTATAGTAGATATTTGTATATCGTTTATGTGATAAAAGAAATGTGACAAAGTAGTTGTGAACTCTGTTGTATGAAAAGTTTTACTAAATAGCCTACACATATAACACACACAAACATACACACACACACGTTTTCGATATGATATGATCTATAGTGAGGTGTCTTTGGAACAAACAATTTTATACATATATCTGTTTTTATATACTTAAATATTTACCAGTAATGTATATACAACTGGCACTAAGAGTCTTCTCTTTTCTTTTCTTTTTTTTATTTTTAATTACACATAGCGATGCGATACTATATAATTGGTATCGGTTTAATTTCAATTATGACATTATAGATTATTATGTAGAATTATGTAGTTCGTCTAGAAGTTACATTTACGAATAGATGTAAACTACACCTATTAGATTACCAAAATAGACTAACAATGATTCACGTATATAGTTCCGTATAATATATACCGAATTTGTTGCCAAAAATTAAACGTTTGTACATAAAAAAGAAAAAAAAAAGGGAGAAAAAGAAACCAATTTAGATCTGACGACTATTCGACGTTTAATTCCCGAAGAGATGCGCTTTATTTCCAAGGGATTGTTCTAAGTGTTAAATAAATTTCAAAGACGTGATAATTTAACGAAACATACGAAAGATGTTTCGATTTTTGCGACTTCTTTTTTTGTATATCGATTCGATGCTTTCTTCTTTTATTCTGTTTCATCATTCGGCGGGCGTTTTATGCATTTACACACGGATAACTTAGCTTTCTTGTTTCATGATTTGTACAACGAATAAGTTATGCTTCCTTTAGTACATATTCTAACTACTATACTAACTACGTTGAACAGTATTTATGAGAAATTTATAGCGTAATGCATGATTTTTAGTCTACTTATACATATACATATATATAAGAATTTAGGTACGAGATAAAGGAAACGAAAAAAAAAAAAAAAGAAACTACTAATCATTGTTAATGAATATTTTTCATTATTTACGTAAAGAGGCTTTATTGATAGTTACAATTGAGCCGTGTTCGCGTGAACACCGCTAAAACAAACAAATTCATTTCGACGACACTCCGATGAGAAAAACTATCGCCACACGATTTCCAGATTTGTTATATTTTTTTATTTCATAAATATACTACCCGTAGTTTTCTGTCCTTCGAATCTGGTATTCGATTTGATATAAGAATCTTGTTTAATTAAGCAACATGACCACAGTGACGTAAGCATAACACTATAATAAAACGAAGCGATACTCATTGTTGCAGAAGCGATTAGCAACAAACAAACTCAAACTTTAATCCTATCTTCTAATGTATATTTTCGTTTTACACACGCGAAGAGAATGATCGTGTTAATTCGTACGAAAAAAAATCTCAAACTTTTGTTAGTTAAATAATTTTTGTCCTTTCTTTTTTTTTTTTCCGTGTAACATCGAACGAAGGAAACAAATATTCGTTTTTAGTACTTCTACACTGTACTTAGAATTTTTGTATTCTTTATACATATAATCGACAGAAGGAAATAAACGAGGAGGTGAGAAGTGGAGAAAGAGCAATACAGAGAGACACATGCAAAACGCGAATTTTTCTTTTTTCTTTTTCTCGAATTACACACGAACGAAATACCGTCTTCCAAATGGTGAAAAAATCGAACAACTTTACCGTTATGATATTATTTCTAAATTTATGATTTCCCATGTAGTAAGTACAAACTGAAGTCTTCTACGTTTTGCAATGTTATCGATTTAACGGAAAATCGTCACCACTTACTGCCTAATTGTGAAATGTTGTTGTAATATTACGTGTACGTCTATAAAGAAGTTGAAGAAAAATAATATTCGTTTCTCCTGTTACAAGCTATTGCAATAAAATTGTAAACAGTCTAATTAATGTATCATACTGTACACAAACTTTACGTCATAAAACAGTGATTATGCAAGCACATCTGTCTTTTTTAAATAAACATTTCCCACTCGACGCATTGTCCTTCGGAATAATATTGTGCAAGTAAAAGGAAAAATGTTCTGTTGTTTTGATAAATTGTACAATGTTTCTCGAATTTCACGAGATTTTCCTACATCGTTCGAGAAAGATTTGTTGGATAGAGGATGACGGTGACAAGCATTGGGAGGAGAAACTTGCGCAACGAATTGTTTATTGTGCGAACAGATTGGAATTACGGCGCAATTCATGAACTGTATAGATCGATAAATCCCCCACTTGTCGAAAGAAACGCATATGTATATTGTGTACGCACAATTTAATAAGTAAGTAAATTCATCCAAACGGGTCAATACCCTATCGCTGTGTACTGTTATCAGTGTGTGCTTCATATGTATCTAACCACGAATGTCCAAACTAATTTATCAAGAATTTTTCTATCTTCCATGTGAATGCTCCACTTTTCGTTACTAGCATTTGTTTACGCGCTCGATCATCCTGTGACGATAAAAGATAGGAAACGCGTCACCGAGTAAGTAGTTTGTTTAAATATTGGAATTTTAATAGATCTAAGTCGTCGAGAGCGTAGAGTTGGAAAAGTTCTTCGAGTATAGAATAAGTGAAATTTCTGAGAGTATCTTCTTTAGATAAATGATAATTTTAGTCTTCCTTAGATAGTAAAATTCTATTGGATTTTTATCTCAGTGAATTATAATTGAGAATGCAAAATTTCGGTGAATTTTAATTAGGAATACAAAATTTCTGTGAATATTAATTGAGATTCCAAAATTTCAGTGAATCTTAATTAAAAATCCCAAATTTCAGTGAACATTAATTGAGATTCCCAAATTTCAGTGAACATTAATTGAGATTCCCAAACTTCAGTGAACATTAATTGAGATTCCCAAACTTCAGTGAACATTAATTGAGATTCCCAAATTTCAGTGAATATTAATTCAGAATCCAAAATGTCAGTGAATGTTAATTAAGGTTCCAAAATCTCACTGAACCCTGATTAAGATTCCAAAATGTCAGATAATCCTAATTATCAAAACCGTAAAATTCCACTACACATTCCTAAAAAATGAACCATCTATCTCCTCCAAACAACAAAGTAGAAGAAATAAGAGAATTGTGCGCAATTGCATTGAGCATCTAAAAGAGAAAAAGGGAAAGAATGAGAATTCATTCTCTCGGAGTGTCGATAGCGTGACAATCTATTACTAATTCCTGACTAAGAAATCAATTCAACACCGACAAAGTGGGAAACACTGGTCAGCCATCGCTGTTGCATAGTCATCTTCCGCCTACCGATTGGTTTGAAAACGTGAAAATGCTCGATGAATGTCAATCGCCAATCGTGTGTGGATTGGCTCGGGGGGAAGATAGTAGTGATAAGAAGAAACGCGGTCTCATTGGTCTAACGTGCCCTTCTCGTTGCCTGATAACAGCGTTTGTTTGTCGTGGCCTATCAATCGTTCACATTCGAACACAAACCGTGCATTAATCTTCATTCTGACGCCATTCATCCAGCACCACGCATTTCTTTCATTCTTTCCCATTTCTGTTTACTACCGAATCACACAATCAACAACACGGTTGTGCAACTGAAAAGTTCCTCTCTCAACAAAAAAATCGTCCCAATAAAAATTGCACAAACTGGGCAATTTAAATTGAAACCCAAAATGTGAATAGATTTCGTGGAAAGTGTTGGTTTTACTCTTCGATTCACGATGAAGAAGAAAGAAAGAAAGAAAAACAGAAGTGTAAAGAGAGAAAGAAGAAGATACGTTTGATAAGTGCATTCATGGTCCTGTTTGGATCTCAAAGAGAGCTCTCGAGCATAATATATGGATACTATCTATCTGCAACTATGGCGGCAGCCAGTCTACGACGCCTAGAAAAGCTCCTATTTCGAACGATTACGGCCTCGAGGTTGCATATGTCATTCCACGCGCGGCCAGCTGCGCTAATTTCTACTGACAGATACGAACAAGCAACCGGCACCCCGATCATTAATTCTACCACGGTCACTTTCACGATTCGTTCTTTGAAGGAAAGTGAACGATGTGTCGCGACCCGTCGCGTACGCTGGAATTACAAATTAGCCTCCTCCTCTCCTGGACCAGCGCAACCGATCCTTAATATTCTGTTAGACGAACCGCGAAATGACTTACTCCGATCGTTGACTTCCAAGAAGGAGGCACCGCGAATGAAATTGATTGCACGGTAAAAATGAACCCCTCGGGATCCTTTGAAACGCGAATAACTCGCGGTTGTTCGAGGTTGGAACAATAGTACTCGGCGAAGAAGATGTCGTGTTTTCTCTTCTTTCTCTCTTATTTGGTTTTTTTGGCAGGGAGGAAAGAGGGGAATGTGCTTTCTTATTTTATTTCTTCTTTGGGGAGGAGAGAAGAGAATGTGCTCTCTTTCTTCTTTTATTTTTTCTTTGGGGAGGAGTGAAGAGAATGTGCTCTCTTTCCTATTTTATTTTTCCTTTGGGGAAAAAATAAGTGAATATGCTCTCTCACTCTCTCTATTTTATTTTTTCGTCAGAAGAAGAGAATCTCTTCCTCTCTCTCTCTTATTTTATTTTTTCATGAGAGACAAAGGGAATATACTCTCTTATTTTATTTTTTCACGAGGGAGAAAGAAGGAAATATGCTCTCTCCCCTGTTTAATTTT